CGAGTTTNTATTTAGCGAGTAGAGGGGACGAGAGTAAGGGTAAGTCCATTCCCGCACGAGTTTATACAAGTATTCCCATATACGTCAACTGTCCAATACGTATAGTCCATACCAGGTCCAAACGAGACGGAATTGGACGAATACCCGTTTTTCTCCGATCTACTGCCATCCTTAAATATCACCCTATAATCCAGACCCAANTTATACAGGTATTCCCATATACGTCAACTGTCCAATACGTATAGTCCATACCAGGTTCAATCGAGACGGAATTGGACGAATACCCGTTTTTCTCCGATCTACTGTCATCCTTAAATATTACCCTATAATCCAGACCCAATTCCAACAAATCCACAATCTAATAAATCTCCAAACCAATCAACCCCAATTGGAACTGATAATTACCAAATTCAATGGCGTGTGACAATATTAGTTGACAAATAAAAAATTTCAGTAGGTCTATATGTAATTAACTCTATATGAATAACATGCCTTAGAAAAGTAACAAGGCTTCAATTATTATTTAAAACATTTGACTGCTTGTGTACGAACACAAGAAAGAAAAGTAAGGGAATAAAAGAAAGAAGCCTACTGTTCAGACTTTATAAAGTCTACTGTTCAGATTAAAAAACAGGGCCAGTGCATGAAAAGGCAAAAACAGAAAGCAAGAAAACCTACTGAATTTTCTTGTGTATTTGATTTNAAAGGGCCAGCGCATGAAAAGGCAAAAACAGAAAGCAAGAAAACCTACTGAATTTTCTTGTGTATTTGATTTTTATACACAGTGGATTTCCTTGAGTTATTTATTAAATTGCTAAAACCAAATTTTATATACTTTCAAATATATTATTACTTGAGATCTTTGTATTCATTTGTAAACGATCAAGAATTATTCGCGACACCTCTATATTTACGAGTGCACGCTTGTGGAAAAGTGATAGTTGAATCCTAGAATAGAGGACGTCATAACCTGTTGTACCGAGTTTCATACTCAGAGGGTGAAAATCTATTTTTAAAGACAGTGACTAAACGCTTTTGTCGATAAAGTTTTTTTACCTCGTACATGAGAGAGAGAGAGAGAGAGATGGGTTTTTTATTTACATATTTTTTATTCTAATATTTGTGGAAGAAATGAACAATGGTAAGTTTTGTTTTTGAAAAAAGATCACAAATGTATATTTGAACCATTAAAATGAATTTTGATTAAAAAAAATTTTCATCCACACTTTTGAACTTGGTGCATGTGTTTTAATTTTTGTCAATTTGAACTGAACAATTAACACTAGTACTTTAGTCCAAAACTATACTGGGGTCATTTGTTGATTTCCGAATAATAAAAGGGTCATCTGGAAAAGACCTCAACTACAGGAAGATAAACTGAATTTTGCCCAATTCAAGCATATTTTTTGTTTTTTGAGTAGTTGCAATGAACCTTGTTTTATTATTAGTATATTAAAGTCCCTGTTTTGATCTAAATATAGACTGTTTAGGCTAAGATATTATCAGTGAGTTATTGGGACCTAATGGGACAAGGTGAATAAGAGTAATGTTTTTGGGACGTAATTTAATAATTTAAATTGTTGGCATAATTCATTATGATTTTTAAATTGAATGCGAGCCCTATTAATCATTGAAATTTTGTGTTTCACTTAAATTATATCATTAAATTAATTTTTTAAATCTATACNAATAATTTAAATTGTTGGCATAATTCATTATGATTTTTAAATTGAATGCGAGCCCTATTAATCATTGAAATTTTGTGTTTCACTAAAATTATATCATTAAATTAATTTTTTAAATCTATACAACATTACTTAAAAAATAAATAGTTGATGACGAGAGCTGTAAGCAGATTGTACTGCAACCTAACTAAGAAGTGTGTGAAATTCAACAAAAGTTCCAGTTTTACTATACTTTTTGTTAATATCATCAACTTAGAAATATCAAAATTTATTTATTTTATTTTTTTGGCCACCCAAATCTCATCCCTTTTTTTGCTTTTTTTTTTNCTAACTAAGAAGTGTGTGAAATTCAACAAAAGTTCCAGTTTTACTATACTTTTTGTTAATATCATCAACTTAGAAATATCAAAATTTATTTATTTTATTTTTTTGGCCACCCAAATCTCATCCCTTTTTTTTTTTTTTTTTTTTTTTTTTTTTTTCTTGTGCTTTGGAGGGAACCATGATTACTAAAATCTATATAATAAAGTTCAATATAATTCAAATATCATTAAAATAAATAAAATAATTTTTACTTCGCGGTTGAAATATTTTTAAATTTTATTTTAAAATTAATTCAACGGCTAATATTAACACTCCAAATTTAAAAGAAAAAAAAGACTCATAAGGGTGTGTTTGAGTTAACTTTTTAAAAGTGCTTCTAAAATTTATAATTTCTCATAAGTACTTTTTTTAATAAAAAATAGTGTTTAAAACCGATTAACCCCAACCGCCACCCCCGTCACTCCCACCACCATTACTACCCAAACCACCACCATCACTTTTGTCACTCCCACCACCACCCCCCCCATTATCACCACTGTCGCCACCTTGATTACGCCCAAAGAATAATGCGGTAGTTGTAGCACAGTTTTAGGGTATCGATTCCACAGAGAGATAAATTAAAAGAATAATAGAAGAAACAAAGAAATTAAAAAAAAATATTTAATAATTACTAGAGAATAAAGATTTATTTTAAATGTAAATTAAAATGAAGCAAAGTGGCTCACGAAAAAAGTACTCAAATTTGACAAACAATAAAACGTTGAGAATTTCATGCACAAATCTAGTATTTTAATTATTCTTTATTCATTGAATAACTCAATTGAGAATTTAATTTCCAAACTTTTTAACAAGAAGATATAAATTTATAAACCAAGATTAAATTAAATGTAACCTTTTAAAAATTCATTCACCACTACTTTTAAAATACGTAAATTAATATCATTATTTAAAAAATTCAACGACAAATAATATACTTAAGAAACAATATTGCAGTAAAAGAATTAAATCAATATAGATAAATAATTGATCTAAATATAATCAAAGAGCTAATTCATTCAATAGAAAATGCCTGACTAAATCCATAAACAGAATAAATTCTATGACTATTCGAAGAAAAAAATCAACAATAAATTGAGAATAATAAAATAAAAAGAGTTTTACTAATTAAAAATTAAATGCATAAATTAAAAATAAATAAAATATCATCTACTGTGTAAGTTCATCTCTCGTCTTACCTGAAAATTTAGTTTCTCATAAATATAATGGACAACAAAAATCCCCTAAGAAAAATAAAACAAATGGGTGACATCGGAGTTTTTTTCCTGATCTGAGTCTGTTCGTTCACCGGCCACCTCCTCTCCTTTTTCTTTCCAGCCGCCAACCACAAAGGAAAAAGAAAAAGCACAGCCGCCCCGAAGGGAAAATATCAGTTAAAAGTCAATTGTTTTTAACAAAATACCTTTTCTCCCAATTTCTTTATTTCAATTCTTCTTTATTCCAACTTTTCAATTTTGTGTAATTTGAGAAAGATAAAGTCTCATAAAAATTATGAATATCGACCCACGTGAAAGCTATATCAATTTCAATCTTTTTGTTCCATGGGCTACCATCAAAATAAAAATAAATATAAAACTCGAATAATAAAATTCCAAAAATTTTAAGTATAAAACTCAATTGTAAATTATCTCTTACCAACCAATAATGTAATATTTAAGATTTAAAATATTATAAAATCATGCTCAAATATATCGAAGTATGAATAGATATTAAATTCAATAATATAAATTATATCTAATTATTTATATTTATATTTTAACATTTTAATCTAATAATAAGATATTTAGAATACACTTTCGCGCACTCATCATCACCATACCACCCCCTATCACCATTGTTGCTGCCACCTTATTACCACCGTGACTGTCCCACTATCACTCTTTCCACCACCCCTTAGTACTCCCACCACCACTATCACCTAAGACTGTTACCATGACAACCGGTAGTCGTCTCCCATTACTGTCTTCCACCACCATTACTGTCACCCACCACCATTATCACCGCTCACGCCTTTATTATAATCTGTGTTTAAATTCTTTTCTCCCTCTTCTATCTTTATAATTTGATATTCGATGTGAATACAAATATATTTATTATTAACATTTTTTTATTATTCTATACTTTCAAGTACGAGAAATAACTAGTTGTCTAATAAAACAAGTGCAAATATGCCGCTAATAACAAATGCCAAAAACAATGAAGTGGCAACCCAAAGATCACCAGCTCTTCGAGTTTTGGCTCGAACCAAGATTAGCAAGGTAATTTGTGCCGTTGTTTCCTTCTCTCAAGGTGTGTTAGCCACCCAAATCCACATTTTGTATCTTAAGGATAAATTTGTAATTATCCACAAGAATTTTAGTTACAGGGCTAGATGTTTCATTTTCAACTAGAAGTTTGAAGACTTGCCATGAATCTCTCTCCAGATTACAGTTCCTTCCTTCCTTCCTTCCTTTCTTCCTAGGTGCAACGTCTGTGTCAGCCTCAGGCCATCATCCCTTCTTTGAAAGAAATTCGTTTCCTTGTTTTTAATTGCCTAGTGAAGTGTTGGTTGTAGTCTGATCAAAAAACAAAAAGTTTGGGTTGTAGAAAGTCAAATTAAACTTCACTTTTTATTTCAATTATTGACGGTAAGGCGAATCCAATTTCTCTATTTTGCTCCGGTGTACCAGCGGTATTTCAAGGTTCATGGACGATCACTTCATCAGTCCACGGACTTGTAGTAGACTATTGCAACTCTATTTTCCACTATTAAATAAATACAATTTAACCCTAAGGTACCCAGTAGAGGCACATACATGAATTTTATAATTTTTGACATAATTAATCTGTTTTTAATCAAATTAAAAAAAAATTAGTCGAATTACACTCGACACCCTTATCTAACAAAAGAAAATACAAATTGTAAAATAGTAAATCAAAAAAAAGTATTCTTTTGGTTCTCTTTTTTCACGCAGACCCAGGAACACCCCTTTTCTCTGTCTCTCTCTCTCTCTCCATAGTTCACTGTACAGAGGCCTTTTACTCGTCGACCGGAGAAAATGCATTCCAATCACCTGCTTCTCGAGGAGCCTATAAGGATGGCCTCCATCCTCGAGCCATCCAAATCTGTTAGTAGCCTCAATCACTCGTTTTTCTCTCTGATTTCACTTTTGATCTCAATACACAGTACAGGACTATAAATTTGGGTGATTATTGATGTCGGTGTATATATGGGCAGAGTTTCTTCCCTGCAATGACAAAGATCGTGGGGACTTTGGGCCCCAGGTCTCGATCCGTCGACGTTATCTCCGGTTGCCTCAAAGCTGGAATGTCTGGTATATTTATTATTTTTTAACTTTTCTTTACATATATATACGTACCTAAGTATCTGTTCATATATATGTACGAGCATGCATAGGATTGTAGTGGTTTTGTGGTGGAAAATGGTTAGATTTGGGATTTGATTTTATACTGAAGATGGAGGTTTTCTGATTAATGATTTTGGAACCACTGCAGTGGCTAGATTTGACTTTTCTTGGGGAGACTCACCGTTTCATCAAGAAACATTGGAGAATTTGAGGATGGCTATCAAGAGCACCAAGAAGCTCTGTGCTGTATGTATTATTGTATTTATGATTCCATACCTGGGGTTTTGGTTACTCATTGGCTATGCTTGGTTGCTGACAATTGACCTAACTAATTGAGGGCAATAGAGTTTTGTGTGTTCTGGAAATTGGGTTTTTTTTTCCACTTATGGAAAAAATTTGTTTTTGACAGTTTTTTGACAGTGTGTTTTCTGTTGCTCTGCTTGTTTAGAGAAACAGGAGCAAAATAATTAGAAAATATGGCTTGAACTCTGATCCTGTATGGTATCTGAGAAACTGTAAGCTCTTTGTGTTGCTTAAGCAACAGATTGTAGTAGATTGAGCTGAGGTGGGGTTGTTAATACAACAATGATTCAATTTGATTAGTCTAAAGTTTTTCCAATAGTTTTTCTACAATTCAATTGAACAAGTTTTCAGTTCATAGAAAAAGCAAGGTAGAATTCATGGGTTTTTTTTTTACTTAATTTCAGGTTATGCTAGATACGGTGGGCCCCGAGATGCAGGTTGTGAATAAAAGTGAGACGGCTATTTCACTTGTGGCAGACGGTACTGTTATTCTGACACCTCATCAGGGCCAGGAAGCGTCTTCAGAAGTGTTGCCTATCAACTTTACTGGACTATCTAAGGTTTAAACACTTCCATCTCCTTGTGGTTAGCTCGAAGCATTTTTTATTTGGAATGCATGGCTTTATTTAGGCCACAGGACGGAAAATTCTAGCAAAATCTGATGCCCAATACATGAGAAATCGGTGATTCTACAAGAGATTCTGTAAGTTTTGAGAAAATTGATGCACTTGGCTAGAATTACCAGAACCATTTTGTGAAAAGGGTTTCATATCTACAAGCACACAATTCTCCAAAATTACTACTGCAGTAAGATGCTTTTAGAAACAGACTTATATTTGGATAGTATGGTGTCTTCATATTACTGGGATTTGATATATGCACTTGAGAAAAAGAAGTTGTCTGAATTGTAGATTATATATATATATATTTTTTTTTTTTTTTGATAACATGAATGTTACCCTCTTGCCTGTGCTATAGCAATTGTTTTGTTTTGAGATGGATACAAATGACTAATGATTATGGATGTTGCGAGCTAAATGTTATCTCATCCTGAAATTGCCAAATCTGTGACAAACTTTCTCTTCTAGCATCCTTGATAATATTCACATATGATGAAGCCTTTTTTAAATCAAAGACTGCATGATAAATATGTTTACTTAGGTTTTGTTTTTGTCTACATACTTAATGAGACCGCTTATTTGTTTTCACAGGCTGTAAAGAAGGGAGACACCATTTTTGTTGGCCAATACCTGTTTACAGGAAGTGAAACTACATCGGTGTGGCTGGAGGTAGGAAGAATACTACATAGAATGACGAATTTAATTTACTATTTTATTTGAGTAGTTTTTTTTTTGTTCGTTTCTCTTTTCCCTATCTCCCCACCCCCCCCAAAAAAAAAAAAAAACCAACAAAGGTCAAGTCAGAGGTGAACAAGAAATGGTAATGAAAGTTGATGTGATCAGGGTCGTTAAATATTATGTGGCTTGATCGGGTTTTTCATTTGGGTTGAGCAGGTAGTTGAGGTGAAAAATGAAGATGTAGTCTGTGTGATAAAGAACTCTGCAACCTTGGCTGGGTCTCTGTTCACTTTGCATGCCTCTCAAATTCGAATTGACTTGCCTACTCTCTCGGGCAAGGATAAGGAGGTGAGTTCTGATTTTAAACAATACATTCTAAGAATGAGAAAGATTGTTCTCATGCACATGTGCATATGCAGTTTTTGTAACATGTGAAAATGGTTGACAGCATACAAAATATGAAACTACCACCCAAAGGCAAATTTTTCTCAGATAAAATACGTCGGTGATCTTCATTTTTGTGAAGATACAATTGTTTGTATTTGCTGCTTGCTGAAAATTTTTACTGAAGGAATCTCCATTAACGCGTATTTGGAAAAATGAAACCACGCATAGTTACCTCCTTGCGTATTTTCAAGTATAGTGCACAGAATTGGAGGATATATAGGACATTTAATATTTGAAATCTGCATGATTTGGTTGACATTTGGTGACATATGCTTCCAGAAAAAAGTTGCTAATTTTCCCCTTTTTGTCCAGTTAGCTTGCATTCTATGCCATGTGACTCTTTTTTATATGATTATAAACCTAGTATATTTGGTGACATATGGATTTGATTTCAGGTTATTAGTACATGGGGTGTTCAAAATAAAATTGACTTCCTCTCACTATCATATACAAGGCACGCAGAAGATGTTCGTGAAGTAAGAATCATGCTTGACTTGTGGCCTTATTTTTGATGTTCCTCTTTTAGTTCCTTAAGTCTTTCTGTAATCATTTTGGGTGTATAAGTAAGTTTCTTCTTTTTGCCATGACACAGGCCCGTGAATATCTATCTAAGTTGGGTGATCTTAGTCAGACTCAAATTTTTGCAAAAATCGAAAATGTAGAGGTGAGTTCATATATTACTAGCTTGAATGAGGTGGGCACTGTGTTCCAGATGCTCTGTGAGGTTTAGAATTTATACATTTCTTTTTCAACTGTGTAGGGTTTAACCCATTTTGATGAGATCCTACAAGAAGCAGATGGGATCATCCTGTCCCGTGGAAACCTTGGCATAGATCTCCCACCTGAGAAGGTTAGTTTTGATAATTTGGAGGGAAAATCATTTTATTGCACAGATTGGGATGTTAGGATGGTTAGTGTCCACATGTCCATGGTCACTTGATACATGCACAGAATTCTCACATGCAGGTCTAGACATTATGTCGAGCCCTGCCACTATACATGTACCCGTATGTCACAAATACAAGGGTAGCATTATGCATATGTGTGTCAATGCAAGTATATAATATCTGCATATTTACATGCTTGATATGCCAAAAAAGAGGAGTTCAAGTTCATTTCGTCTTCCTTAAATCAATGGGTTATCTATTCCTTTTGAAGGAAGCCTTATCCTATATTTTAGTACCTTTTTCTATCTCTTACAACAAAAAATGGGATTTCTTATTTCGGGTCCTGGTTTGAAGAATATATTTTAGGGCTTGTACTTATTAATTAATGTTTATTTTATGTTTGTATAGGACATTTTGCTAATTACTATCGCCCTGCGTGGAATTTGCAGGTGTTCTTGTTTCAGAAGGCTGCTGTTTACAAGTGTAACATGGCTGGAAAACCAGCGGTGGTAACTCGTGTCGTGGACAGCATGACTGATAATCTGAGACCAACTCGTGCAGAAGCTACTGATGTTGCCAATGCCGTGTTGGATGGTAAGTCTCTCTTTCCAGCCAGAGGTATTTTTTTTGGTTGCCTATTGAGGTCCTTTAGTCCTTTATTATTATCACTTGTTTCTCCATACTATGTTATGTTATTGTTTTCAACATACGTATGGTTAGTATCACTGTCCATTGGTTTGGTGCCCGCATTTTTGAATTCCCTTTGCTCTCATTTTCATGTTCACGACTTTGTAGTATGGCATTTTTTGAATTATGAAATGGAAATCTGAATGCTAATATATACATAATGTATTTAAATTGTGCAGGCAGTGATGCAATTCTTCTTGGTGCTGAGACTTTGAGAGGATTATACCCTGTTGAGACTATTTCTATCGTCGGTAAAATTTGTGCTGAGGTAAAAGCTTTTTCCTTGACATTGCTCATGAAATTTTCTGCTTTTTGAGAACATTTACTTTAAATCTTTGCCCGCTGAAATTGTATTGTAAAGAATGAATTAATCTATGTTACCTTGATTTTCTGTGAAATTAACTGCAAACCTTATTTTGTTGTTATTATGAAGGCAGAGAAGGTCTTCAATCAAGATCTGTACTTCAAGAAGACTGTCAAATATGTTGGCGAACCAATGACCCACTTAGAATCTATTGCTTCATCCGCGGTAGTTTTACTTCAGTGTTGCTATTGTACTCCTTTATTTTTTGGTTTTAGTTTTGTCATATTGGTTTTGTAACATGTATCCTTCACTTTCTTTTCTAGGTACGGGCTGCCATTAAGGTGAAGGCATCTGTTATTATTTGCTTCACTTCATCTGGAAGGGCTGCAAGGTATTTTATTTTTCTCTCTACATAAGAACATAGACTTCTGAATCCATACCTCCCCAAAATGGAAATGTGGTGAGGCGTGGAACATTAATTGTTTTCCATACCATGAGTATAATTCCAATATGCAATTATCTTTCCCAAATTCTCTCATCCACATATTACTTAATAATGTTGTCGTTGTAATGTGCAGGTTAATTGCAAAGTATAGGCCAACAATGCCAGTTCTGTCAGTCGTCATCCCCAGGCTTAAGACAAATCAATTGCGATGGAGCTTTAGTGGTGCATTTGAGGTATGCTTCTGACTCTTTTAATTATGGGCTGCCTATAGCAGGAAGAAAGTTCTTGTTACTTGCAATAGGGGATGGAACTTGATTGAACTTTTTCACAGCCATCAATTTTCTCGTCTTTACTGAAGCAAACACTGAATTGGATCTATGATTGTTGACTTCTCTTCTTAGATGCCCAGTTGATGAATGAATGAATAAAGGATTGTGGTCATTGGCCTAACATTTTAGTTTTCAACTGACCTAGTGGTATGTGATTGTGAATTTGTGATCTGTATCAGATGTTATGACAGCCATAATAATCCTCGAATGAAAACTGCTTACGAGTTAAACTTTTTCTCTTTTCACACCCTTTTCTTTGATGGGTTTCTTATTCTTCTCCTTTCTTTTTTCTGTTTCCCCTTCTTTCTCTTTTTTTGTTCTTTTTTTCGATTTATTGGTGTGGCTGGGAGTTGGGGGGCGCTTGCATGGGGCCCTGCCAATCATTGTCTTACAGAAGGCATATTGGTAAATAGTTCTTCTTAGTCTTGACCGACAGTTTATAATCTTACGCTGCTATTATATTTTTATGTGTGTGGCATCTTAATGCATTGAATCTGGAAATCCATATTGTTTAATGTGATCTGATTTAGAGGTTGCTATAGCTTTTTACACAGTGGTCTGCACTTGACCAAAATACATCAGATATTGATTTATACTTATCAAAGTACGTTGATGTATGATTTTCAGGAACTTTCACCTTAGGCAATTGACTGTCTGTGTTATAGAAGTTTCTTAGTGTTCCTATGTAAATTTCCTTTTTCCTCCCTTCTACTATCCATTTAGTATTTGAACTAATGGCTCCATTTTTGTGTCTCTATCTGAATGATTAGGCAAGGCAGTCCCTTATAGTCAGAGGTCTTTTCCCAATGCTTGCTGATCCTCGACATCCTGTAAGTTGTTAATTGACTTATTGGTTGATGCTGTTGTTTATGGTTCAACTTTAATTTGTTTTCCTATAGTGGGGTTTCCTACAAGAAAATGTGAAAGGGACCTTGGTTGCATATTCATCATTCAAGTGACCTCATTGAACTATTCTACTTACAGTCAGGATGCGCATGAAACATATTTAGATATCTGTTTTTGCACTGGCTTTGTTCTTACGGATGCTTTACACCGAGAGTGCTATGGCAAATGATGTGGACTAATATACTTTCCACGGGACATTAAAGGAGTCCATTAATATTTTTTACTGGACTAGATACACTTGGATATATTCCATTGGCTTGACTTTCCTGGCTAGCAGAATAAGGTGTGGAAAACTATATGCACAGGGCCAAAGCCAGTACTATTGCCAGACTGCTGGGATTAGTGTTTTCTTCAGAGCCAAAATTAATTTTCTTCCTCTTGTAGGTCTGAGATCAGGAATGAACACTGCTAAAAAATTCTGTATTTCCTAACAATTCTGTTGTCGCCTTTTTTTAGTGCTGTCCAAAGCCACATCTTGGATGGTTCCTTGATAGACTCAGACTGCACTTCCTGCAAATCCTATGTTCACTCAATCCAGCATGAGTGCCACCAGTGATTGGGTCGCAAATTGGCTGAGGCCAGTTAAGCCAAGCCAAGCAAGAGTCTGTTCGGCTCAGCTCAGTGAAATCCCCTATGCTCTGACTCACTTGTTTTGGCTAACTTGGGGGCTTCATCTCAGAAGCTGGTTGGCTTGGCTTATGTTTGGTTTCCTCACGAGCCAGTTTGGTGTAGTTCAAAATGGACCGAAAGATGAAGTCAGTGTAATTGTGTGCATATTGTTCTTGATTTAGATTTCATAAAATCTGACGTTCACCTACTTGATTTTCCAGGCTGAGTCTACAAACGCGACAAATGAATCAGTTCTGAAGGTTGCACTTGATCATGGAAAGGCCTCGGGAGTTGTAAAGTCACATGACAGGGTTGTGGTTTGCCAAAAAGTTGGGGATGCATCTGTGGTGAAGATTATTGAGCTTGAAGATTAAAACCCTTATGTCGGCCTCCTTTTGAGTTGTTTCTTCTTCCTAATTATTTGGAACTGGTGCTGGACTTTATCGTCATCACCCATGAGGTTTAATCTCAATGTTTGGAGACTATATTATGCTGGTCAATTTTCGTCCATCGAAATTGTGGTCACACAAACTATATTGTGGGCGACCCCCATGTTTTTGTTTAAGTATCGAATTCATCTTCAGGCTCATGCCCAATAATTTCGTAATATGTATTTTCTGGCAACGGATGAATAAATCGGTTTTGGCTTGGTGAGGCTATTGGATTTTAATTTTAATTTTAATTTTTTTTTTATGAATTGATCTTGAATTCTTTGTGAGAGGGTGTTTGTTCCGTTCAAGCTCATGGCTTCACTCTTGCGGCAAGCGCCCTGTCGTTTACCCTCGCTCATGGTGCAGTCAATGTAGGATCCAGCGACGCCCCCATCGTGAAATATACCCCATCAAACAGCTGCTATGGCAATGTATCTTGGGCTCATTGCTTTCATGGGGAATTTAGTTTTGAATAATGATATTCCTGTTGATTGGAATATATATGATTGGTACTGAAAGTAACAGCACATTCAATTTTCTATCAATTGCATAATAGGGTAACTTATTGGCAATCTTTTTCATGTTGAGACAAGGTTTTGTTGAGTCGGGTCTTAGTTGTAATCGCAAATTGTCCTAATATTGCCCGACAACATTGTCCCTCATTTTGATGATTTTTGATTTCTTAAACACAACCAAATAACAAGAGAATCTGGATTTCATTAAAATATTTAGCTCAAAAGTCTGTTTCGGTTGTCAAACACCGGAGGATTCTACATATTATGTTATAAAAACTCAATGACATAATGGGATTCAAATATGATACCGAAAATTAATTTTTTTTAAATTATATTTTTCATTAAAAATTTATAATAAAAATTATTCTATTATTTTTTATCACATCATTATTTTTTCAATCAATAGTTGCATATCATCCACACTTAACAGTTGGATGTTTTTTGGTAGGGTAATGTAGAAAACTAATTCAATGCAATTATTAGATTAATTGTGAGCTCTAATATTAGATAAAGATTATTTTTAATTTAATTGTAATATTAAATTAAATTCCCAAATTAAGTCCCAATACAATTTTCACTTTTGCTATTTTGTAATCTTATCTAATGTGAATTACTCTTGTTTTTTTTTTTTGAACTGTGATAATGTATTCAAATATTTGAGAAAGCAATACAATCAATATTATAAGAGCATACAACAAAAGCTATTTTAGCTACTCAAAAAATATTTTTTATTTTAACTACTCACTTTTTCTATACTTTAACAGATTTTTTATATTTTTAACTACTCATTTTAAATATTATTTCTCATTCTTTTTGTATAATTTTTTTTTTGAGAATAGTGAAAGGGAGAAAAAAAGAGATCGGAAGAAAGGAGAGAAAGAGAGGAAAAATATTATAATTTTTTTTTACAAAACCATACAGTGATACTCTAAATATAGAGTATTCTTGTAGTAAAATGTTATTTTAGATGTTTTGGAGGTAATCTGTTGAAATGAAATTTTTGGGTTAAATAGCTAAAATTTGAAGATTTTGTGTCCTTTAACTCATCTGTTGGAGATGCTCATGGGCAGGTTTGTTGTTCTGTATTGGGGTATGGGCGAGACTTAATTGCATCTTGTTGACAGCAACTTCTCCAAAGGGGGAGGGGAGGGGAGGGGGGGTTCCTCAGTAGCTCCATATGTGATGATGAATGCATTGTCTGTCAGAACCAAAGAGAAAAAGAAGAGAGTTCTGTGAATGCTAACTTGAAGAATTGTTATTTATTAAGTGACTATAATGACTAATAAATAGTCTCACACAAATATTCAAAAGGAAATAACAACCCACGATTTTACAGGTCCTATAATCGTGGAGCATGACTAGTTAAACAGAAAATCATACTTGTTCCTCAAGCATAGGAGGAATTATTCAACACTGCAGGAAATAATCCTAAAAAACAGGGAACTCTGAACCTAACAGCTAGGAAGCTTCAACAACTTCAACATCCTCCCTTAAACTGAATACTATTGACATTCAATTTATATCTGGACATTCACACACACCCAGTAAACCTCGCATCTTCAAATATACATCAAGCTTCAATGGCTTTGTTAGAACATCTGCAACTTGCTCTTGTATAGAGCATTGAATCAGCTCCATTACTTTATTCTTGACAAGTTCTCGAAGGAAATGAAACCTTACATCTATGTGCTTGCTACGACCATGCATTACAGGGTTCTTTGAGAGTTTGATCGCTGAGATATTGTCACAACACACCACCGTTGGACTGCTTTGCACTTGATTGAGATTCTCCAGAATTTTTCTTAACCACACGACTTGGCATGCACTTGATGTTGCTGATATAAACTCAGCTTCGGTGGTGGAGAGAGTAACAACTGGTTGTTTCTTTGAAGACCAAGAAACAACTCCTGCGCTCAACAGAAAGACATAGCCTGAGAGGTGCTCTTTTTGTCATCCTGATCACCAGCATATTCGCTGTCCGTGTACCCGATGAGCTCTTCACTTCCTCCCTTCTTGTAGAACACCCCAAAGTTAATCGTACCCTTCATGTACCTCAGAACCCTTTTTGCTGCCAACAAGTGAGACTCAGTAGGACGCTCCACGTACCTAGTAATCAAGCTGACAATAAACATCAGATCAGGGCGTGTGGAAGTTAAGTACATGAGACTTCCAACCATCTGCTTGTAGACAGTACTATCAACTTCAACTCCCTCTTCATCTTTCGTGAGTTTAAAACCAGGGACCACTGGATTGTGTATTGAGTTGCACTGATCCATATAGGACTTCTTCAATACCTCTTGAGTATACTTCCGTTGACTAATAAAAATACCATATGTCCTTTGTAACACTTCAATACCAAGAAAATACCTCATTCTTCCAAGGTCAGTCATGTCAAACTCAATCATCATGGATTTCTAAAATTTTTCGAACATCACTTCATCATTGCCAGTAAAAAATGAGGTCATCAACATAAATACACACAAATAAAATTTTACCTCCACCTGTAGTTTTAATGAATAAAGTGTGCTCATAAGGACATTTGGTGAAGCCTTCTTTGATAAAATATGTCTCAATGCAACTATACCAGGCTCGGGGAGCCTGTTTGAGTCCATACAAATAAACCTTGGATTCATGCCCCTTTTGGTCATAANTATACCAGGCTCGGGGAGCCTGTTTGAGTCCATACAAATAAACCTTGGATTCATGCCTCTTCTGGTCATAACCTGGAGGTCGATCGACAAAGACCTCTTCATTGATTTCTCCATGTAGAAATGCCGACTTGACATCAAGCTGGTAGATCACCCAGCTTTTCTGAGCAGCAAGGGATATAACNTGGTCATAACCTGGAGGTTGATCGACAAAGACCTCTTCATTGATTTCTCCATGTAGAAATGCCGACTTGACATCAAGCTGGTAGATCACCCAGCTTTTCTGAGCAGCAAGGGATATAACAATTCGAATGGTGTCCATGCGAGCCACTGGTGCAAATACTTCAGCATAATCAATTCCATATTCCTGACAGTACCCCTTAGCGACTAGCCGAGCTTTGTACTTGTCCACTTCCCCATTTTCGTTAAGCTTCGTCTTAAAGACCCACTTNTAATACAAAAATCACAACAGATCCAGAAACCACATCAGCAGAACCCACCATTCGAAAACCACATCACCAAAACCCACTATCACTACTCCTCATCCCCTAATCCATTAAGAACCAGACGAGGACCAAAAGAACACGCCACCGAAGCATGCCACCACCACTATCCTCCTCCACCGAATCACCACCGCAATTGAAGCCACTAGAGTACCACCACCAGTAAACCCATTCTCAACATAAACCCTAAAAGACAACATCAAAACCTAATTGCGACATTCAAGGGCTTTTTGCGATTGAAACGAAGTCAATAATTGCAAATTGACATAAATAAATTTGTATGCTTTGGGGAAAAAAAGATCGAACCAGTGGAAGGAAGGAGGAAATGGAACTTTGAAACTTCAATACCTGATCTGCCTAGAATGAAGGAGAAAATGGAAGGAACTTGTGCAGAAATGGAGGGAAGGTAGCAATTGGAGAGCTGGTAAACGCTCACCAGATCTGGCTAACAAAAAAGCCCTNATGGAAGGAACTTGTGCAGAAATGGAGGGAAGGTAGCAATTGGAGAGCTGGTAAACGCTCACCAGATCTGGCTAACAAAAAAGCCCTCAGCTATTTGGCAAGCTGGATAGCTAGCGCGTTGGAGCCTGGGATTTGGAATTTGCTTGCTAAAATGGTGTAGAGGAAGCAATTAGCGAGAGCGTTGGAGATGCTCNGAACTTTGAAACTTCAATACCTGATCTGCCTAGAATGAAGGAGAAAATGGAAGGAACTTGTGCAGAAATGGAGGGAAGGTAGCAATTGGAGAGCTGGTAAACGCTCACCAGATCTGGCTAACAAAAAAGCCCTAAGCTATTTGGCAAGCTGGATAGCTAGAGCGTTGGAGCCTGGGATTTGGAATTTGCTTGCTAAAATGGTGTAGAGGAAGCAATTAGCGAGAGCGTTGGAGATGCTCTTACACTGTTTTTTTGTTATTGTTACACTATTACAATATTTGGATATTAAATTAATTTGAAAATAAAATTACTTTTCAAAAAAAAAACACATGAATTAAGGTGTATTAAATATAATTTAAAAATAAAATCACTTTTCAAAAAAAATACGCATGATGTCAGAACTAAAGAGAAAAGGAAGAGAGTTATGTGAATGCTAACTTGGAGAATTCTTGTTTATTAAGTGACTACAGTGACTAATAAATTGTCTCACACAAAGATTCAAAAGGAAATAACAACCCACGATTTTACAGGTCCTATAATCGTGGAGCATGACTAGTTAAACAGAAAATCATAATTGTTCCTCAAGCATAGGAGGAATTATTCAACACTGCAGGAAATAATTCTAAAAAACAGGGAACTCTGAACCTAACAACTAGGAAGCTTCAACAACTTCAACATCCTCCCTTAAACTGAATACTATTGACATTCAATTTATATCTAGACATTCACACACACCTAGTAAGCCTCGCATCTTCAGATATACATCAAGCTTCAATGGCTTTGTTAGAACATCTGCAACTTGCTCTTGTGTAGAACATTGAATCAGCTCCATTACTTCATTCTTGACAAGTTCTCGAAGGAAATGAAACCTTACATTTATGTGCTTGCTACGACCATGCATTACAGGGTTCTTTGAGAGTTTGATCGCTGAGATATTGTCACAATACACCATTGTTGGACTGCTTTGCACTTGAGTGAGTTTCTCCATAATTCTTCTTAACCACACGACTTGGCATGCACTTGATGCTNTGACATTCAATTTATATCTGGACATTCACACACACCCAGTAAACCTCGCATCTTCAAATATACATCAAGCTTCAATGGCTTTGTTAGAACATCTGCAACTTGCTCTTGTATAGAGCATTGAATCAGCTCCATTACTTTATTCTTGACAAGTTCTCGAAGGAAATGAAACCTTACATCTATGTGCTTGCTACGACCATGCATTACAGGGTTCTTTGAGAGTTTGATCGCTGAGATATTGTCACAACACACCACCGTTGGACTGCTTTGCACTTGATTGAGATTCTCCAGAATTTTTCTTAACCACACGACTTGGCATGCACTTGATGTTGCTGATATAAACTCAGCTTCGGTGGTGGAGAGAGTAACAACTGGTTGTTTCTTTGAAGACCAAGAAACAACTCCTGCGCTCAACAGAAAGACATAGCCTGAGAGGTGCTCTTTTTGTCATCCTGATCACCAGCATATTCGCTGTCCGTGTACCCGATGAGCTCTTCACTTCCTCCCTTCTTGTAGAACACCCCAAAGTTAATCGTACCCTTCATGTACCTCAGAACCCTTTTTGCTACCAACAAGTGAGACTCAGTAGGAGGCTCCACGTACCTAGTAATCAAGCTGACAATAAACATCAGATCAGGGCGTGTGGAAGTTAAGTACATGAGACTTCCCACCATCTGCTTGTAGACAGTACTATCAACTTCAACTCTCTCTTCATCTTTCGTGAGTTTAAAACCAGGGACCACTGGATTGTGTACTGAGTTGCACTGATCCATATAGAACTTCTTCAATACCTCTTGAGCATACTTTCGTTGACTAATAAAAATACCATATGTCCTTTGTAACACTTCAATACCAAGAAAATACCTCATTCTTCCAAGGTCAGTCATGTCAAACTCAATCATCATGGATTTCTAAAATTTTTCGAACATCACTTCATCATTGCCAGTAAAAAATGAGGTCATCAACATAAATACACACAAATAAAATTTTACCTCCACCTGTAGTTTTAATGAATAAAGTGTGCTCATAAGGACATTTGGTGAAGCCTTCTTTGATAAAATATGTCTCAATGCAACTATACCAGGCTCGGGGAGCCTGTTTGAGTCCATACAAATAAACCTTGGATTCATGCCTCTTCTGGTCATAACCTGGNCTGTCTAGGTCATTTGATTCCTTAATAAAACATACAACGTAATCATATTTCGAAGTCATAGACCTCAAAATCTTTTCAATGATTACCACATCATCCATCTTCTCCCCATGAATTCTCATCTCGTTGGCTATGGTGAGAGTTTGCCCGAAATAGTCAGTAACTGATTCCCCAGCCTTCATGTGCAGCACTTCAAACTCTTTGCGAATAACTTGCAGTTGAGCACATTTTACACGTTCTATTCCTTGATATTTTTGCTTCATAGAATCCCATATATCCTTCGCAGTATCCTTCTTCAAAATGGTCTCCAGTATCGAGCGATCAATGGCTTGGAACAGGTAGTTCTTAGCCTTTAGATCTTTTAGCATCTGATCATCAATGGCCTTCTTCTGTGACTCACTGAGACCTGTCCCCTGCTGCTGGTGCAATGATTCCCGTCTCCACCAAGTTCCAATATTCTTTGGAATGCAGAAAATTCTCTATTAGCATACTCCAATGGTCGTAATGACCATCAAACCTTGGAATGANGCAATGATTCCCGTCTCCACCAAGTTCCAATATTCTTTGGAATGCAGAAAATTCTCTATTAGCATACTCCAATGGTCGTAATGACCATCAAACCTTGGAATGACAGGTTGCACAAAGCTACTCTTGGATGCCATATTTGTGAGGCTCTGATACCAGATGTCAAAACCAAAGAGAAAAGAAAGAGAGTTCTGTGAATGCTAACTTGGAGAATTGTTGTTTATTAACTGACTATAATGACTAATAAATAGTCTCACACAAAGATTCAAAAGAAAATAACAACCCACGATTTTACAGGTCCTATAATCGTGGAGCATGACTAGTTAAACAGAAAATCATACTCGTTCATCAAGCATAGGAGGAATTATTCAACACTGCAGGAAATAATCCTAAAAAACAAGGAACTCTTAACCTAACAGCTAGGAATCTTCAACAACTTCAACACATGAATCAATGTGTATTAAAGATAATTCAAAATTTAGATAAGAAATTTAACAACAAGTATATATATATACACACACGCATTTATATGTATTTATAACACATAAGAATCAAGATGTATTAAAAGTATGAGATTTTGAATTAAATGACCTTAAAATGGGCATTTACGTCTTCATATCTCAGCTATGTACTTTTTTTAAAAATATTTTATTTTACGTATTTTTTACCAAATAAATCTAATTAAGTGTACCAACTTTCGAATAACACTTTATTTTATCCATTTTATTGCGTTTCTGATAGCCATATCGATGATATGGTGTCATTGGCCGGATGGATATGGGCCGTGCAGAAATCGGAAAACAACAGTGGCCCATTGTAGCCATGTTTCTATAAATGTCAGCCCAAACCGTGTACCTCTTTTTTCTTTCTCTCTTCGAAGTGGGAAAGTCTGAAATTGCCGACTCTCTTTCTCTCTCCTTTGTGTGTGGCAGATAGCGAATAGATATGGCGCTGTGGATGGAGGAAGGTTCAGAACCTAAAACCGAGAACGAGATGGCGGACCTTGTCGGAATCAGTGCCCTCAAAGAGTCTTTTGCTATTGAACTCAAGGTACTATATCCCTCATCCTCTCTTATTACATATTTGTTGAGAGAATTATTTATTTCTTGAAAGACAATATCGGCTGAATCCTCTCTAGGTTTTCATTGCCCTTGTGTGTATCTTATCTCCTCCACTGGCCTTTCAGGAAAAAGGAAACGAGTATGTCAAGATGGGGAAAAAGCACTATTCAGATGCCATTGATTGCTACACCAGGGCAATAAATCAGAAGGCTTTAAGTGAGTCGGAGCAGTCGGTTGTCTTTTCAAATAGAGCTCATGTGAATCTATTATTGGGGAATTACAGGCGTGCTCTCCAGGATGCTCAGGAGGCAATTAAACTCTGTCCAACAAGTGTCAAGGTTGTGATTTCAGTTTAAATTCTTAGCCTGGATTCATTCGACTTGCTGTTGTAGAAGATTTCTGAAGAGAGTTCATATATACTTCTCATTAGGCACTTTATAGGGCAGCTAAAGCATCATTGTCTCTGAATCTGTTGGTCGAAGCAAAATCGTATTGTGAGAAAGGAGTCGAGCAGTCTCCAGATAGCAACGAATTATTGAAGCTAGCCAGGCAAATTGATTTAAGGAAGTCAGAGTGTGAACAGCGTGAGGCTCAAGTCTCCAAGGCAGTGGCGGTAGCTAAGGTCTATCTACGACACATGATATAATGTTTAAATAATCACATTGTAAAACATTTAGAAGGCTTTTAACTTTTCTCAATGTTAACATTACTCAGGGCATTGTTTCTGCCATTGAAGATAGAGGATTGAAGTTTGGGAAGGCAATGTATCAAGAACTCACGGGTTTAAAAATACCGATATTAGATAAGAATAACATTCTTCACTGGCCTGTTCTCCTACTGTATGCAGAGGTTATGTCGAGTGACTTTATTGAGGACTTCTGTGAGACTGACATGTTTTCAACTCATCTTGACATGATATCCTCTTTGAGGACTTTTTCCCTCCTTTTTTTGGGTTTGAATTCTCAATGTACTTATATGTCAATGTGTACATAAATTGTGAGTAGTATGAGGCCTATCAGATTTGTGAACATTGCTTGCCATCCTTAGCTTCCAAACATGTTTTCTGAAAGCTGTCCACCATTAGCATGGGACAAAGAGAATGCTTACACCCGTGAAGCTGTTGAGTTGTACTTTGAGGTATGCAAATGTTTGTTGTCCATTAGTGTTGTTGCTTTCTAGATATAGTTGTTTGAATTGCCAAAAGGAGATGCCATCTTCAATGCCAAGGATTGAAATGGATTTAGACTTTCTCCTTCAATAGCATTTTGCATATCATCTGTCATGGACATCATGGCATAGTTAGGAAAGTCTTCGATACTTTTCATCCATGCTGGTTTGATCTTAGGGGTTTCTTTGAAGAGCTTCTCCAATAAGTTCTTCATTCCCACTTAATTCTTCGTTTTAGAGAGCCAACCACAAAAAATCAACCTCTAATAGGCTCTCAATTTGAAGAACTTAAAATAAAGAGCCCAACATGGCTATCCAAATTTGGAAAGTCAAATTCACTCTCTACTCTATCTTCATTGAATTGAACAATGACACATACACAATCATTAAAAGCTATTTAAAAATTATTTTTCAACTGCAATAAAGAGAACCCTATTGGTGTTATGTACAAAATTTCTATCTGTAGTTAAATTTTCGTCAAAGATGCTCTCTATTTTTTAAAAGATGTTCTCTAAAATAAAGAGCAATATTAGAGATCCTCTAATCTATTTAAAGTCCTCTAATGAAACTTCAACATTAGCTCATAAGATTTTTTTGCTTTGTTAAGCATTGAGTTGTCTCATAGACAGCTAATTCGATGTTTCTACATATTGTTTAAATTTAAAAAGCAAGCTGTAATAAATTATCAGCAGATAAATTTGTGGGAGAGTACTTTTCAATTCCTCTTTTCTATAATTCTTGTCATACAACATTTGTATACTCACTAACATTCATAATTCAGCCTCCACCCAGCCATAACGTGTTCAGAATAGGGAGGTCATGTAGAAATGCACATCTTGATACACATTAGTGATTGTGTTTCTCGATTTAGGTGGCTTTTTTGTCACATATGTGATTGTGCTAAAATTCACATGTTGCATTTAGTCTTCGTGTGATCCCTTTGTTGTCATCCTGAATTTAGTTAAAAAGTCAGTTAGTCTCCTACGCTGTTGATGCTCATTATAATCCACTGTTGGAGTTAACGTTTATGCCGCGTGTTACATGCATGTCTGGCTTGGCATCCTGGTTTGGACTTTGGAAATTGACATGTGCTGCTGAACATCCTTAAATGACACTTGAGACTTATTGTTATGTGACTTAGTCCTCCCCAAAATATGAGGATATAAAAGTCTTTTGTTTGCCATAATACAATTAATGACCAAAGGCATCACTTTTATTGCCATACTTTTTTATTTAAGGCCCCATGATGAATGATATTCTTCTCTAATATGATGCTTTTACTTATTGTACCTTATTGTCTTGAATTTATTCGACAGGCTGGTTCTGGAGTTTGTTTATCCAGGAAAGAAATTCTTCGTTATTTTTTGGAGGCAACAGCTGGTTCTCATTTGGAAAACTTTGGCGATGAGGAGAAGGATAAAGCTGATAGTCAGACTGAAGGCAGCCCTGCAGATGGTATGTTTCTCATCTATCCCTTCTTTATCAAGTAAAGGTAATTTCTCAAAAACAAGGGGCCTTTATTATGTTGGAAGGTGCAAAAAGGTTATCTACTTGATCCTAAATAGAAGAATTGAATGGTCTGCATATATATCTCTACGTCAACGATGGATCTAAGGAAAGCAGATGGAAACTGCCTTCCAATGTTTGGAAAATGCCTTCGAATTATAAGTACTATATCCCTTACAGTTTTATAGGTATTCTGTTTCGTCAGTGTTTCATTGTGTTTATATAGGGTAGTTGTGGTACCTTGGCAGTGTCATTGTACTGACACTCAAAACCTGAAAAGCAGTTTTCTGCATGTTAAACTGCAGTGTGAAATCAGATAATGGTATGGGCNCTTGACCTGACTGCATTTTTACCAAAGATTTCTTCTCGTTAAATATGCAGTCACATGCTGAAATCAGGCATCAAGTATAAGCATAAAAGAGAAAAACCTCACTTTATTATCTGATTTTACTCTTAGACTTGTATTTTCAGTTTATCCATTTTTTTGATGTTTTGAGTGCATTTCAGATCAAGGCATCACAAAAGGAGGTTGAGAGGATGCTTCAAGAACAAAGGTGTGATCCTTTGTGATACAACTCTTTTATTTATCTATAGAATAAGCAGTAAAACGCCATTCATGATAAATTCAGAGTTTGTGGTCATGGTTGTTGCTAATGTGATTGTTAGTTTGGTGTGGTTTATCAGATCAAATTCTTTTCAAGGGAAACTGTTAAAGCACAATCTTGATTCAGAAGTTGTGGATGCTCTCAAGGATCTTAGGAACAAGTTATCTGCAAATGAGTCAAGTAGCTGATTAGTTTTTTTGGGAGATGATGCCCCTTAACTCGGACCATGCTCGTGGTACACAAACACTTAATTTTGTAATTTTTTTTATCTGAATCATTTGATATTTTTTTGTCTCATCACAGGCTTGTATAGCTGCTGTTTTCAGAAGTATAAGATATTCTAATTTTGTGGCATAGAAGCATATTTTGAAGAGCATCCAATTTCTAATAAATTAATGCAATTTTATAGTTTAAATTTGAGAACCTTGTGCTTACTAACTTGTTCAAAGGTTTTTTTTTTTTCATGGTTTAACAAACATTTGTGTATAAAAGATCTCTGTGCATTCTTTTGTTTTTTCTACACTTCTCTCATATGTCAAATTCATTTTCACTTGTACCCTCATTTTTGTAGAATGCATAGTCTTTCTACCTTAATCCAATCGAGCATGGTTGTAAGGGTTGATCTAGAGTTAGATTTTTTCCAATACATTTTTCTTCAATATTCGTTTTGGTGGATCGCTAATCATGCATTCAAGTGAAACCTATTTTATTCAATCCCTCACTCATTAATAGTAGATGACCTGCCAAGAAGGGAATTGAATTTAATAGTAGATGACCTGCTAAGAAGGGAATCGAAGGAATCGCATTGGAGGGATGTAGATCCTGTTGAACTTGGTACAAACTTCATGTTTTCTCTTTTCCCAAATCTAAGTGACCATTTTTGTTAGTCCAGCCCAATGTCTGANTTGAAGGAATCGCATTGGAGGGATGTAGATCCTGTTGAACTTGGTACAAACTTCATGTTTCTCTTTTCCCAAATCTAAGTGACCATTTTTGTTAGTCCAGCCCAATGTCTGACGATTACTAACTCAATACTTGTGGGTTGTGGCCGCACCAACAATGTAGATTATTTGTACGTGGAACTTGGAAGGATAAAACGTAGATTATTTGTTTAGCCTAAAGTTTTAGTACTTCCATAATACTTATGATTAGAGGGACTTATTTACGGCACTGTATCTGCTTTTATTAATTTGTTATTAAATTTATTTGAAAAACAAAATTGATGAGTAATAAAATTGAATTCTTTTTTGTAAAGGTAAGTGAATAATTAAAATACCAAGAAAAAATACGCTTAATCTTTTAATTTTTTTCAATTTTTTTTTACAGTATATGGTGTTTGAAAAAGAGTACTACTTTTTTTGAACTAATTTACTGATTTAATTCAATATAGTTGTTAAATTGATTGTGAGTCCCATCAAATATTGAAATTAAAAAATAATATAAAAAGTCTTTATTCGAATATGAAAAAACGCAAAAAGTCATGTATGTTCAACAATAACTAAAAAAGAGGATGATAATGCATAAAAATATTGTTGAGTGGTTGTTTTTCTTGGCAATTCTGTATATTCAAGGAAACAAATTCTTTTTTGTTTTTTATCCTTTTCTTGTCGGTTGTATGTTTGTTTCTGAATCCTCAATTTCTTCAACTTCTTGAGCAACAAATCTTCTCGTTGATTGATCATTCTCATTTAATTTGCTAACTTTTATCAAAAAGTTGAAGTAATGTCCACTGTATAATAGTAGATTTTGNGATTGCGAGTCCCATCAAATTTTGGAATTAAAAAATAATATAAAAAGTCTTTATTCGAATATGAAAAACGCAAAAAGTCATGTATGTTCAACAATAACTAAAAAGGAGAATAATAATGCATAAAAACATTGTTGAGTGGTTGTTTTTCTTAGCAATTCTGTATATTCAAGGAAACAAATTCTTCTTTGTTTTTTGTCTTTTTCTTGTCGGTTGTATGTTTGTTTCTGAATCCTCAATTTCTTCAACTTCTTGAGCAACAAATCTTTCCACTGATTGATCATTCTCATTTAATTTGCTAACTTTTATCAAAAAGTTGAAGTACTGTTCACTGCATAATAGTAGATTTTAGTAATACATGCATTGCAATTTGTTCTATCATGTCATACGAAAAGAGTTAGTATTTGTTTTAATAATTTTTGAATTAAGTGAGTTTGTTATTGCATACCTGTTCTTTTGATTCAATGAATTTTGAGACTGGACATCCTATTAGAGTTTGTGCTGCATCAAATAAAGTAACAGAAGCCCTTTTGTCTCCATCTGATATAATGAGTTTGAGTATATATCTATTATAATAAAAAAAAAATGTTGTATAATGTTAATAAGATGATTGAAAATATTTAATGGTGGTGTAAAATTAAAAAAAATGTAGGCAATTTGAAATAACTATTGCATATCATAGTTACCTGTGAGTGTGTTCAATATTTGTTTTTTCACATTTTTTGCATTCTGCTCCATCTTTTGTGATGATGACCCTTCTTTGGCATTGCTTGCAAGCATTGTACCATAGTTCTTCTTTATTTTCTGTGCTTAGACTCATTGCTTTTAAAGCACAAAAAATTGTCTGCCAATTGTAGAAAATTTATATATATATATATATATATATATATATATATATATATATATT